TCTTTTTTTAATAATTTCTTTCAAATAGTCGCACTAACATTTATATTGTGCATTTAACAGAAGAAATTTGTTGCTGGCAAGATAGCTTGGGAGTCACAGACACCTCTCCACCATTCCAATTCGAAGGCCTTTTCATATAGCCTTGAGGCACAATGTCAGGTAAAAGTATATTAATTTTGAAATTTTATACAATTTATTTTTAATTATTGATTAATAAAATTTTCTCAATTTTTTTTTTCCAGGAGGGTTCTAAGTTCCCAAAGATCGGCCTGTTCAATTTACATTCGACCCGGCGATGAGACTACTGAGCACTTCATGTAAGTATATGTAATTGTTATTATTCTTATATTTATGAATCATTCAATTATTTATATTTTGTTATTAAACATTATATGTTTTTTCTTTATTATTACAGGATGCTATGGTGGAAAAGCGCACTGCTATTCTCCAAGAAGCAACATCGCAGCTTCCCCCGGAGACCTCGATCTAGGACGTCACTATACCCGAGGACGCAGGTTTTCAGATCCTGACTAAGGTTCTGGATTAGAAGTTCGGTCGTCGTCATGGCAAGGTTGATCGGTGTATGGGGAAGACACGGATTCATGAAACGGGTGCCTCATCTTCCAAATCGACCACAGAAGAAGTCAATGCCCTGAAAGAGGTGACAACCCTAAAAGGTCAGCTTGTGGTCTAGGGCGAGCAAATGACTATGACTGTACAAGCCTTACAGATGTCCGGCCTCCAAATCCCAAAGCCAGCACCTGATCTTGCTCCACCTTCGACCTCCCAGCCACTTCGCCCAATTGATACCCAGTAGCCTGATGTATCAAACTTAGAAGACTACTTGTTGTAGTTTTTTCCTTTTTGTTCGGACATCTTGTATGTACATTTTCATATATTTTATAATTAAATACTTTTTCTTGGTTTATTAATTATTTTTTACAATTTAATTACAATATTTATTAAAAATTAAATAAAAAATAGTTTTGCCAAAAAAAAAACAAGTGTTTGGGCGACGAAGAAGTAACATGCGTCACTCAAAGTAGTTTTGCGTGACGGATAACCTACGTCACGCAATGTAGTTTTGTGCGACATAGGGACTTGTGTCACTTAAACCCTGCTTTCAATACCTTGGCGCGATGGTTAGCGCGCGATGAAGGCTTCGTCGCTCTAATTTTCAGGCCACGTTTTTTGACTTTGCTCGACGAAGGACTTGCATCGCTCAAAGTGTTTTTTGTACTATTGAGAAGTAGTCATAAAACATTCAGTTAAAGTTTTCGATTTCTGTCAAATGTTAAAGGAACAAAACTAACCAAATGATTTTGTATAGTTTTTCAATCACAAGAATCACTTTGCTATAGATATCTGGAATAAAAATGTTGAGCTCACAAAGTTTATGATTGTAGATCCCATGACTAACACTTTACTAGTGGGAGTATTTGCAAGGTATCTGTTTCATTTTAGGCATTTATAAAGTAAAAATTACCTTTTGTATTGAAAATTTGAAGTGTTAGTGGCTAATACTTTAAGAGGAAATTTTGTTCATAAGTTTTAATAAGAGGTCTTGATTTGTAAATAGTATGTCATATTTTACTTGTTCTCTTATCATATTCTAAATTGATAGAAAAGTTGGATTTTGGTACCAACGTTATTGAGTTCTTTTGTGAACTTCTTTTGTTTTGAGGAACTATCGTTTTGTTTTGTTAGTTCTCAATGTCGTGGCTCTAGTAGTAACATAGTGTTTCAAGTCAAGTGTGCATGTGATCATAGAGTGCAAAGTGCAATTTAGACGTGCTTTGTTTTCCATGGTTCTGCATTTTTCTTGGAATGACAAGTTACTAAGCAGAGTAGTTGCAAGCTTCTGTAGACTCAATGATCATCATGAGTCTTACTATATTAAGGTATATCATTGACATTCAAGTGGGGGAATGTAAAACTTTATATGAATGACAATGAGATAACAACTGGACTGCTTGAGTTACACGTAATTTGTTGTACGAGTCCTGTGGGACTTAAGGAGTCTGAGATCCTTTACATGATAAGAATCGTGGAGTTTAATAATTGTGCAACTAACTAATTGAAACTCTTATTAAGTAATTACGGATATATAGAGTCACGATGAGACTTAATCTTGTTGAAGAGATAGAGATTATCACTCTTACTGATAATAGGCTGATTCGAGTGAAACTCTAATATGATAATGTGAAGATATATATATAAAATAGGCTGAAGAAGTCCCTGCTTCCACACAATTAGTTTCTCAAAACTAAACCCTATTCGATAGTAGAGATCGTTGCTGTGTGCTGGAAGTAGAAGACTACTTCTGTTATTCATTCAATGGCGACTCCATCAGGTAATGTGATGTTATGATTTAGTTGTTACTGATCTATTTGTTCATGTTGGTAATCCTAACACTGCGTTGGTAATATTGTTAGCTTAATTCTTATGTAATTCTTATTGTAGCTCGTTCAAGCATTGAAGCTTAATATAGAGTTATGGCTTCCGTTTCTAGCGGATTAATGTGGTTCCGAAGACTTTCAAATGACTTGAACTTCGAAGATCCTCAATCCATAGGCCATGACTTTCTTTTGTGATAAGCATATCGAAGTTGGCCGGCATTTTGTTTGAGAAAAGATTGAGTCAAACATTCAAACAACTTGCATCTACAGTAATGAGCAGTTGCTGATGCCGTAAGGACAGAGTTGCCAAATGCACCAGATGTAGCAATTTATTTCCAGCACGTTTTCATCGCCATATCTTCAAGCGTCTCGATATTGTTCTTCCAGAACCTCCGATGACATAGGTCAATCGCTGAATCTCGAAATTCTTCTTCTGATATATTTCTTTGTTGCGTTATTGTTTAATTTCTTATATCTTCATCTATTTCATGTTTTGCTACTCCGGCGGCAGATCCAGAATTCTGTCTTGCAAAAGACATTTTTAAGCAACAAAGTGATGTACAAGGTATTTGAAGCCTTGGTTCTTTCAATCTGACGAATGATTAACTGTCTGCGGAAAGTCTCGTTGTTTAACATAATTAATTTAGATAATAAAAAAATGAAGTTCTAAAAGGAAAAGGAGAGAAGGGACAAAGTATCCTATTGGAATATATATTCATGTATGAGTTATTATTAAGATTATAAATGTTTCTTTACACCCAAGACTCAGATCTGTCAGCATATTACCTCTCTTAAGTTTTCCTCTACTAATAATCTTGAGCATAGAAGTCAATAATTTCCTTAAGATTGAGCTCAAACAAAGAAGACCAATCATTATACATCAACCACAACATGTGCTCGAACAGAATAGAATCAACATCCACAAAAACCATCCTACTTCCCTTACCAGTCCGATCATCAAAATTCTCCACCTTCTTGTCCTTGTTCATCGTCTCCATCAAAACCCGAAAAGGGTTCTCTTCTAGTACTAATGGGTCTACCAAGAACTCCTTCTTCTCCTTCCCCACGACCACGATCACTGGATTCTCTGAGTTGCCGAACCCATCTTTGGTTAAGGGCCGGTAGCCATGTAGCCGTGATCCCATGCACCTCTTTTTCAGCATTGAGATTGGCAAGACCAAGCAAGCCATTGAAACTGAACAAATGAGTTTTCTAAAATATATACAACATAGGGTATGATATGAGAGTGTATATATATGTGTTTGTGTGTGTATATATATGCAATTGGGTTGTGTATTGGGGATGTTTGTTTGGTTGTTTTGTGGCTAAATGGTGTTCTAGGATATGCTTGTTACATTTGGAAGTGAAAGCAAAGGCATTTATGGGTAAAGAGGGTGATTGAATTGGCCAGGCAACGGCTACAGACAGAGAGAGGTTTAATTTTTAATTTGGATTAAGAAATAGTGGTTTTGTACTTATATGTGTTTTATGTGGTTTGATGTGTCGCTTTGCCGGCAAAAGAGCCATTGGAAAAATCGCTTTGGTGGTAGGAGATTAGGAGTTCGACTGAGACTTGCCGAATAGGAGGCAGCTGTGGACTGCGGGCCTACCCGCGCCTGCTGGCTGTTGGCGCGTTCCTCATTGACAATGTTATCAACAGAAACTTACAGAGAGTGTGATCGGGTCGGTGGTCTATTGCCAAAATGCATGACTGAATTGGTTGCTTCAGACTTAACTTTAACTCTTCATCTTCGTGTTTAAGTAACTTGAGTTATATTTTTAAAATATTATGATTAATATTGGGTAAAGATTTACGTTCTTATTTTTCATTTACAGTAACGGGTTTCATTTTGAGATTCTCCTTTTTATAATTTTTTTTCACTACATATACAAAAATAAGTTATCAAAATTACGAGAAGAAAAATACTTACAAACAAAGGATTTGTTTGATGCATTCAATATGAAAACAAAATATCGATAGTTCTAGTAGGGTCTCCATTTTATCAGTGATTAAGTTCGTAGTATGATGTTGTATATATAGTATTACACACCATGATAATATCTCTTGACTAGTCCCATACAAAACGACATGTCAACTAAAACGTTGAATGACTAAGTCCTAAAATCGTATTTTAACAATTAGATCAAATGCAAAGAGTATACGTATACATGTACCATTTGAAAAATAAATGAGTCATAAACTAAGGTGGACTTATGAGCCATACTATGCCTTTCCACTTGCCTTCCTTGACTCCAAGAAAAAGAGAGAGGGATCTGAGAAGATTGAATAATTCATGTGTACACAAAATTTGATGAAAGGGCCATCATTATTTAATTAAATGGCACTTAAAATCGTGACAAAACAGACCTTAAAATCTGATGGGGGACTTGAAATTGTAAGTTATAACGAACACATCACTATTTAAGATCGCTCCGATCAACACTTTAAAATCAATTCCTCGCCCCCAAAGGTAGCTGAGCGGATTTTGACAATCCAAAACCAGCCAGACTTCCGGCAAGTAGAAGAAAGAGGGGCCGGAGCAGATTCCACGACACGAGATGAATGAAAATACAGTAAGCCAACTGAAACAGATCGAGAAGTGGTCATAATTAAAATGCAATTTGCAACTCATGAGAACCTAAAGAACAGGCGGCGTATTCTCAGCTATCAGCAATAGCCATGGTTCAATCATATGAAGAGTGAAGACGAGGAAGAAGAAAAAAAAAAAAAGCTCAATAATCTAGAACTAAGATAACCCCCTCGGACTCGGAGTTGTTTTGGAGAGTGAAGGATGTCAATCGGCATTTGAAATTACAACGCAGTGAGTCAAATGTGGTCGCTGTACTGGTAAACCGGCTGGGAAGCATCATCATCTTCTTAAATTTCCTCACTGTTGAGCTTGACCCCATAACTGATACATCTGCATATTAGGGGGTTGATTAGCATTACTGTAGAGCACAGGTCCCCTGTTGCTGTTGTTGAGAGGACTGCTTCCATTCTCGTCAGATGACTCGCTTGACCCTCCTCCTTGTGAGGATGGGCTCGCTGCTGTCATTGGCGCACCAAAGTTCAGCATTTGTGATGCTAGGGGAGAGGAAGTTCCCGATTTTACCAAGTTGGAGTTGGATTTTTTCCCGTCAGCAATGAAACTACCCACAATCACCTGGAGTTAAAATTCAAATTGAGTTAAGAGAATAACAGGATTATACTTTCCTGTCAAAAAATTCTCAATACAGTTAACTCGAAAAGTTTCTTGCCCTGAACATCCTTTACAACTGCAGAAGGTGAAGATAGTCATAATTTTATATAACTTATACGCTTAGCAAATAGTAGCAGAGTGGTACCTGTACTGGTGATGCTGCCATAAGCATGCCAGCAACTCCACCTCCCAAAACTTGACCATCAGACCCTGCCAAGGATACACTCAAACCACCACTTCTGCTGCGATTCCCATTATTTTCAGAAAACAAGTAGGAACCTGACAGAGAAATAATCTCGTATCGACCCTGCAAAGAAAAACACAGAGATAATAAAAATTAGCACAAAGAATAACTAATTAATTAAAAAGCTAAATATAAAAAAAGAAGCAGCCAGGTATATAAGACTGTTGAACAGAAAACACCAGAAATGGATCGCGTGACTACATAACATCGAGTGCTCAAACAAATTTGTAATTTCATTGGACAAAGGCCAACCCACTTGAAAGGGTATTACATTACCAATGTATTGGTCTGTGTAAGTGCAGTGGACATGAAAGTGAGTCATGCTTGTGGGAAAGAAGGAGTAATTCATCAGAACTACTCCAATTGATAATAAAGACTATTTTAATTTACAGTAGCAAGTATTTAAATCATATATCGAAGAAATTGCTATCCATTATACAAAAATTAAAAATAAAATTAAAAAAAAACTCATTCTATATAAACAACATATTTTGAAAGTATAGTAGAAGGTTTGAAGTGATGAGCTTCAGCTGCATACGCTAAATCTTCAAATCGTGAGACTACTTTATGTTCAATGGTTAGCACTGCATTTCATTATCTGCCTTGTTACAGATCAAAGAGGTAACTCTACTATGTTTCCCTAACTCGCCCAAAATCAGATAAATAACTCTTATGAGCTCAAATGTCTCGTAGCACAAGTTTCCTAACTCAATGGAGTTTACGTTAAACGGAAAACTTCTATTGGTCACAATGCATGGTGATTCATGCTTGGATTTTATATCAAGGGTTGAAATTAAAACTTCAAAAGTACATCCAATTATTCTGCACCATGAGATCTGTTAGCCTCAATTATCATACAATGAGAATATATGGTGCAAGCTTATGGAGGATACAACCTATAGCCTCCAAACAATAAAAGCATATCATTATTGGAGGAAACAAGGGAAAAATACGGTTCATTTTCACAGCAACAACAGCATTGCAGTCTGGAAATAGCAGAAAATGAACTGTTGCAAAGGAAGATGATCAACTTTAGATGCCACCACTCCACACTAATAACTTCAAAATGACTTCTTTTTTTCCCTAGATCATGACACATTGAGACAGATAATGTTTTTCTAAAAGATACAAGAAAAGTAAATATCAGCAAAATCAAGAAGAGGAGGATAACAACATAGCTCCACACAAGTTTGTAAATCTTTGCATCTGTTATCTCAAGTCCACTCAAACTAAATTCTTGTGCTACAGGTACTGCAGTATCACAGTATGCACATAATAAACCAAATATATGTTCCAATCTCCATTCAAATATAACTGCTATAAAAACATCAAAGGTACCTCATATGTGACAGTACCACCAGACATTGCTGGCTGGCGAAGGGTAACATTGCAGGTGGCACCATTTGCAGAGAGAATACAAACTGTGCGTGGTCCCTGCTGTGAAAAGGCCATAACCTTTGCTGCTATATCCTGCAAACCATAAGGCCAAACAAATGAGAACGCATACCATAACTGGACAAATATCTTAATATAACCATGCAGAAAACTCAAATTGGGATTAAAAAATGGAAAATGAGAACATAGTCCTGAAGGCTAAAATACCATAAATCAGTGCATACAAAGAAATGCTATATACATTGTCTATTTTACCCAATTCAAGTGTGTGACCATTCTGGTTCATAAAGTAGACTCAGACAATAAAATATCGGCATCAAAAGGGTGCAAAAATAATTTATAAATATAAAAGAATAATCCTGTATATGGTCCAATGATGCAGATCAATGCAAAAACAACCCAAACAATCCAGGTTATCTCAAATGTTTCTACTCCAACTCCACAGCCAGGGAATCAATTAATTATAAATGAACAATTCATCCAACAGCAACAAATTTAAAAATTTACATAAAAACCATGATCATTGGGTGGAGAATAATGGTTCTGTTTGCATGCAGAAACAGTCATATGTACTAAGGAACTAAAGTTTACAAATTGAATTTTAAATATAATGCATGCAGAAACCCATCATCAAACTGAGCTACAATTATGTTTGATATACATCATTAGGGCACAATGGAAACAAAAGGAAAACAAATTCATACATTGAAATGCAGGTTTAGAGAGATCTGACAAGCCATCGCTTATAGGGATGTGCAAATCATGGTCACAACCAATCAACCCAGCCCAGTCGAGGCAAGCTGAACCAAGTTTAAGAAAATTAAAGTAACTATCTGTAAACCAATAAAACCAGGTGTCACATACTAATGTCTAGTACTAAATACTGATGTGACTACTCCCACACCAACACCCACTTAGCCTTAATCCCTCTTAGATTTTCATCAAAAAAATTATAATTCTTCCTAATTCTCCAGCCTTTACCAACTCTCTAGCTTTACTTCCTGCCAGCATTACAGCGCCACAAAGCCACTTGTTCCGCCACAGCCCTGCCTGTATCAGTCTCCTCTCAACCCACTTATCTCAATTTCTCTCCTTCCTCTCTCTCACCAACCCACCCTCTCATTACTTCCTTTGTCTGCACCATACTGTCGCACTGCTTCCCTTGCTCTTTTCTTCTTCCTAAAGTGGATTATTTTTTATATTGATTGAGGATTTTTATACAGAAGTTTGGAACACTTATTTATTTATTTATTTTTTTTTTATAATTTGTCTTTCTAACATTTGAATTCTGTTTCTTAATTGTTTTTCCAATGATATTGATACAAAATGTATTTTCAGCACTGTACCAAAATTGTCAATATTTAAGACACTTACAATGACAACATCCAAAGGAAACTTTCACGAGAGATAAAAGTAATCCATACCATAAACAATCAAAACGAAAAACCTATTAAGTGGTATCTTCATTTGTTAAAACAAGCAGGATATAAGTGGTGCAGCCATTTACTACAAACTACTTAAATATTTTTCATTCCTTACTAAGAAAAGTTGAAAGATTTTCTCACTTTAAAGCCTGATTTCCTAATACTTCCACGTAAGCACATTGACAATTGATGCTATATACAGATTCCTGTCTTCTATTTTCTTTTATGAATGCAATTTTTATTTCATGATCATGACCACATAAACCGAAGAAATGATACGATTTGCCAGATGACAAAAATAAAATAAATGCAGACACACACACTCACCAAATTTGTTAAAGGAGCCATAATACCAAATAATACAACTACTTACACAATTGATAAACTAAACCACATATTATCTTTTGCTTCAGCAACAAACAACAACATCCATGAAATACACTACTATTTTGTTATACCACTGAAAGCCAATATTTTCCCAATTCATACAAACTAGAACTTTACTTCCCTTTCGCACAACTATAAATGTTTTTTTGTCGATGAGGTGCAACTATAAATGAGATTGAAGGCCATTCTATATTGCACTAAACTAACATTAGATATGTGTGTAGATATATATTTGAATAATGCATCCCTTGATACCATATATAGAGATATAAACAACCCAAAAATAACAACTTTCTTCATAGAACTACTATAACTCACTCTTTACTAACTACAATTTGCTCCACATCAACAAAGTCACATACCTCGCCAGCTTGCACCATAATAACATGAGGCGTGAATCCAACTCCGCCAGCTCCTGCACACAACAAAACCAAACAACAATAACTACAATGTACATCAGTAAACTATAAATCCACACCCAAGTTTCGCTCTTTACAAAAATTCAAACTCAAAATCTCAATTACCCAATGCGTCCAACTGCTTCTTGCCCGAACCAGGGGGCCTCCCCCGGTTCTTCTTGGCCGGAGGATCTGAAGACATCGTGCCACTAGACTCTCCATGGGTCCCAGCCGCGGCCGAAGCCGAAGAAGGAATCTGCGTGGGCGTCAATCCCAAAGCAATGTTGCCGTCAGGCGAGTACTTCCTGGGCCGCCCTCTCTTCTTCTTGGCAGCTGAAGCCGAAGAAGAGTCGATGTTGAACCCTCCGCCGCTGCCGCAGGGCCTCAACGCTCCATCGTAGGGACTGGGGCTCAAAGAATCCATCTGCGGTTTCGACGTGGGCTGCTGCTGCTGGGCCACCGCGTTGAAAGGGAACCGTCCCGGGTTAGGGCCGCCCATCATGGAGCCCGAATTAGGGTTTATGCCGGCGGTGGGCATGGATGTGGGATAGGAAGGCAAGCCGACCATCATGTTCGGATGCTGAGGCGGGTGTGGCGGCTGTTGCTGCGGAACTTCCCGCGAATCCATTTGTGGGGGGATCAAGAAGGGGGCGAGCTGATTTCGCGCAATGGGGGTGTTTCGACTCCGGGAAAATGTACTACTTTAGAGAGAGAGAGTACAGGGAGAGAGAGTACAGAGAGAGAGAGTACAGAGATGGTGGTTAAAAACGAGGGTTTAAATTTTGTTTTAGGGTTTTGGTGTTTATTGTGGCCTTTTTATAATAAAACGAGTTTCTCTAATTTTGTTGTCAACGGGCGCCGCTGCGTATCTCTTTCAATTTCCGACGTGGCAGGGAATTAGAGTACTAATAAAACTCTTCCTCTAGCAATGATTATTAATTTTAATCCAATTAGAGTAATGATTGTTCAACAAAAAAAATTAATGATCACTAGTCCCATAACTCATCAGCACGTGTAGTTATGATCCTTTTTACCGTCAAAATGAGTCACTTGACATACACATGAGGTCAAAATCAAAGGGCAAATATGAGAAACTAAATGAAAAAAATTGTAAAAATTGTCTCACAACTTAAACTCAATTGAAGAAATGATCACTCAACTTTAACACAATTAAAGCAATGGTTCCTCAACTCTTACTCAATTGTAGCAAAGATTCTTCCAACACTACTCGTTTTGACAGAAGTTCTGACAGAGTTGATGAAAATGACCATAACTGCATATTTTGAAGAGTTAAGGAACCATTGGTCATTGATTTTTTGTTAAGGGACCTTTGATCCAATTAGGTTAAAATTAAGGGACCATTGCAAAGGTTCTAAAAAACGTTAGGGTTCTAGGGGCCTAGGTGAATTTATGTAAATTTATTGTATATCTTGTAAATAAGTGTCTATTTACACTTCAAAAAAAAAAAAAAGGGAGCTTTCTATATAGAGACAAAAACTTTTATTATGAGCTCATTTGGATGTGCTTTTAAAATGATCAAAAACACTTTTGGTGAAAATGTTTTTGGAACCAATTCTTAGTAAAAATGTAAGTAAATTCTGGAAAAATACTTAAAGTGCTTTTGGAACCAAAAAAACATTTTCTCTAAAAGCACTTTCAATAATTTTAAAAGCACATCCAAACGAGCCCTATATTTCAAGGAACTCCACTAATTTTTAAACATGTCAAAAAGAGACAAAAGCATAAAAACAATTAAAGCCCAGCCCAAAAACATGAAAAGAATGTTTAAAATACCCACCATACCCCTAGGATTTTAGGGTTTTAATAAATCTCAGCCATCATAACTCCAACAAAATTAATATGTGATATAAACTCAACCCATCCTCGACTATTTCTGCTGAATCAGTTTTAAAACCATATGTAGAATAAGTTTGTATCATTTATTACTACAATCAGTTCAATTAGTCCCGGCCTATTTTTGCAGAAACAGTTCAACCACGTTTTTGACCATGTTTGCATAATTACTTCAACCCATCCTCGACCATTTTCCCAGAATCAATTGACTCGTCTTCGACCATTTTTGCAACATTAGTTCAACCAGTTCTCGACCATTTTTGCAGCATCAGTTCAACTCGTCTTCGACCATTTTTGCAAAATCGGTTCAACCCGCCCTCAACCATTTGCAAAACCAGTTCAACCGGTCTTCTACTATTTTTTCAGAAGCAATTCAACCCGTCCTCTACTATTTATGCAGAATCAGTTAAACCTGTCTTTTTTTCCAGAATCAGTTTAACCCATCATCAACCATTTGCAGAATCAGTTCAACCCATCTTTTTTTGTAGAATCAGTTTAACTTGTCCTTGACCATTTGCAGAATCTTTGACCATTTTTGCAAAGTCAGTTCAATCTATCCTTTGTCATTTTTGCAGAATCAATTTAATCCGTCCTCGACCATTTTTGCATAATTAGTTCAACCCGTCTTTGACCATTTTTGCAGAATCAGTTCAACCCGTCTTCGACCATTTGCAAAATCAATTTAACCCGTCCTCGATCATTTTTGCAGAATAAGTTTAAACCGCCTTCGACTATTTTTTAAGAATCAGTTCAAACCGTTCGATCATTTTTGCATAATCAGTTTCTTTACACACCCGCATACCCTTTGGGACTTGCCCTGTGTGCCTGCCCCAGGCCCAACATGCCAACCTTCACGGCTAGATTTACCAAACTGGACCTATGGCCTGCAACCATGATTTGGGCTGCCCCTAGCAGCCACCTGAGCCCATTAAACTATATAGGCCTTGCCCTACTCATGACACCCATGCCCACCCTGTTTGGGCTATGATTTTTCAAATCCAATGCTAATTTTTGGCATTCTAAATAATTTTTGACACGCCCCAATCCCGATGTCTGGGGAACATCGGGATGGCCACGTGCTGACCAACACCTGAGGATGACACAAGCCATTTAATGAATGCATATGCCAAGAACATGTGAAACAGGCATATAAATTTCGTGCGAACTAAGCAAAGTAATATTCAAATAAAAACCTTACCAAAATAATATCATAATATTCAAACGTCAAATAAATGATAGTGATAATGCATGACATATTCAGACCATACATCTAATTCAGAATATAAGCGGAAGGTGCTATTACAAGTGATGTCAAGCAGAGAGGATGATATGATATCACTGGTAGGGGAATGCCTCGTAGCTTGGATCATATGCCTCGTTCGTATGTCCTGAGGGAGCGCAAAATAAATATGAATAGACCAAGTTGATATATATATATATATATATGCAAGTATAAAATACTAAAATAATTATTCATCAACGTACTAACCCCTAAAGTTTTATGGAAACTCAATAGTATAATAGGTAATAGGTTTTCCGAAAACCCTAGCATGCCATAAAACCTTTCATAAAACATATATCGTATATAATGTGCTAAATAGTGGTATTCTAATCCACTGAAGCCCTACATCACCTGACCCATAGGTCAAATATAATATATCTTCCGACCCGTAGGCCAAATAAGTATTACCATCCGTAGGCAAAGCAGTGACCACTAGATAAGCACAAAACATTGAATATAATCTTTCCAACATATGTACATATATCTCAAAACATGTTCATAGTATATAGTCATCTATCATATATACTACAAAGAGTGTAAAAACATGTTCATAAATAGTATATAATCATCCATCATATATACTACAAAGAACATAAATTCGATAAAGTATGGTATTCCAAAATATTCTCAGTAAAGCATGATAATCATAAAGTGTAAATCTAATTCACTCATAAAACGTAATCATTAAAGGGTTTGGGCTTGAAAGCCCAGCCCAAAACTCTAGGCTAGGGGACCCTAGGCTTCCGTGTTTGGGTCAGCTAACCCATTTTTCGTCGAGGAAGAAAACCAGAGCCTCCTAAGCTCCGGTCGACCCAATGCATCACCTTACCCTACTATCTACCTACTAAAATAAAGATAGAGATGAGAGGAAGAGTTTTGTACCTGTCTCATGCCGTGAGGTGGCCGAAGTTGGCCAAATTTTTGGCTCAAAGGCCACAGGGTTCGACGGAGAGGTTTGGGTGGCCTCTGGGTGTCTCGGTGCTTCACAGAGGGGAGAAAGAGAGAGAGGAAGAAGGTCTAACCTGATGGTGGTGGTGGTGATTGTTTGTCGCCAGTGTGTGTGGGTGGTTGTGTGTCGCCTAGAAGGGAAAAGGAGAGAGGTCCTAGAGAGAGAAAGTTTGTGTGAGCTGAGAAAGAGTGTGTGACTCGGGGGAGAAGAGAGAAGGACAGAGAGGTAACTGCCACATGGCAGGCAAAGAGATGAAGAGAATTTGGAGGAAATCCAAAAAAAAGATCCGGATTAGGTAGGGGATGAAGGTATAATGGTAATTTCATAATTCCTTTAATATAAAATTACATAATTGCGATAGGGTTTCACAATTTTAACCTGAATGTTATAGTTATTTTTTCTTCTACGATCAACCCCAAATGGTCTCAATTTTTTGAATTAATTAAAGTGACCAGCAGTCCATTAATCTGACAATTAATCCAAAATTATTGGCTTGAAGTCCATTTTTGGCATTAACGATTCAATAAATTATTTTGTTTTCTTTGAACCGTCGACTATCTTTCGTAATCCCGAAGCACTCACACTTAAGTTCCTGAAGCAATCCACAAATCCACTACACTTTATTGCATATTGTATTCTGTGTTCTTGCAGGTACCCCTATATGAACTAAACGTTCATAAACTAAATCGAACTTGTAGTTTCGAATTTAGTGCCTTTGAAACACAAAGTTTCATTCAAAACTTACCATATGAAACCTATAGCTTGCCTGCATAAATTAAACCAATACATGTCTATAGAACCCGAATGTTCTACAATGTATGTCTATGACTTTCCATATGACTAACCATGTTTTGTGTTTACCCTTTGTCTAGGGATATGTCAAACTTGAACAAGTTCGATTTTCATCGCTCTGGAAGTCTCCAGAAGAAACTACCTAAAGTGGGTTCAAGACTTGAAGCTCCATCTTACTACAAAGAGTATTAGAGCTACCCTTTGCCCCGAAGGCCCCAAACTTCAAGAACAAGGAAAAAGCTACCATTTAATCAGATTTCACTGAAATAGAAATGTGTTACCGTTGTGGATGAGGCTATTACCTAGTATCATTCCCATCGTGAGTCTAACCTTGCACATGTAGAAATCCCCGAAGCGGCTACTATGTCCATGAAGGTTTCAGATTTTCATGAAACGTCCGCTCATATGGAAAAATAAATTTATACATGTTTTTAGGATGTTTTAACCCCTAGCGGCCGAACCCACTAGGAGTGGCCGAACCCCCTCCTTATTTTCTAGGTATATGGCTTAATTGTCAGACAATTTTTCTAGGTCTTTGAAATTATTTGTTTGATTTTGGTTTGTTTTGAACTTATGGACAATTATTTTTTGGATATTATTTCTCGAATTGATTAATTGAATGAATGGAATTATATTAATGCATGCAACCGATTCAATTAATTTATTTCTAGGTATGACTAGTGGGGAAGTTAGTTGTTTGACTGATAGTGCAACTACGCACACCATACTGCGTGAGAAATACTATTTTACTAACTTAGTAGCTAAGAATGTACCTCTGACAACCCTCTTAGGCCTATCCAACCTAATAGAAGGATGCGAAAAGGTCCGTATAATGTTATCCAATGGTACTAAATTAACCATTAAAAAGGCACTCTATTTTCCATGTTCCGGAAGAACGTTGCTGAGTTTTTGAGATATTCGAGATAATCAATATCATGTTGAAACCATTGAAGAACATGGTTTTGAATTTCTTTATATCACTTCTTACGAATATGGCCGGAAGTGTATTCACAAAAAGTTGGAACGTCTCCCAAGTGGGTTATACATAATAACTATTCGAGCCGTAGAGACACAACATGTGGCAGGCCCTAGTGATGGGTTCCAGGACACTCTCCTAGTTTGGCATGATCAAATAGGACAAGATATGATGCGTCGTATCCTCAAAGTATCTCACGGGCATCACTTGAAATCTCATCCCGACCATCCGCTTTGCAAAGCATGTTCCTTAGGGAAGTTGAACATTTAACCCTCAATTACAAAGATTATTCACGACCTCCCTAAATTTCTTCAGAGGATTCAAGGGGATATTTGTGGACCTATCCAACCAACATGCGGACCATTTAGATACTTTATGGTGTTGGTTAATGCATCGACACGATGGTCACGTGTTTGCTTATTATCCACAAGCAATGTTGCATTTGCGAAACCCCTAGCACAAATTATTAAGCTTAAGGTTAATTACCCTGATTATCTGAGCAAGTCGATTTGACTGGATAATGCTAGAGAGTTTACGTCATAGACCTTTGGCGATTATTGCATGTCTGTTGAGATTGAAGTTGAACATCATGTACCCCATGTTCACACCCAAAACGGCCCAGCAGAAGCTTTCATAAAGCATCTTCAAATGATAGCTTGGACTTGGGTTATGAGAACTAATTTGCCGGTATTTGCCTGGGGCCATGCAATATTGCACACAGCTATGTTGGTCCGCCTAAGGTCCACCGTTACCCAGCTTCACCATTACAGTTAGGTATTGGATACGAGCTTGACGTCTCGCATTTAGGTGTGTTTGGGTATGCAGTCTATGTGCCAATAACACCGCCAGTACGTACCAAAATAGGTCTTTAGAGAAAATGGGACTATATGTCGGTTACGATTCGCCATCAATTATACGCTACTTGAAACCCTTGATAGGAAATCTCTTTACTGCATGTTTTGTGGATTATCATTTTGATGAGACAATCTTCTTGTCGTTAAGAGGAGATAAGATCACTAACATTCCTATAGAACACCGCAAATTGTTATGGATTACTTCCACTATGTCTTATTTAGATCCTCGCATGCTTCAGTCTGAAAATGAAGTGCGACGCATTCTAAATCTTCAGAGCATTTCTCAAAGTATGCGAGATGCATTTATTGATCTAGCAAAGGTGACGAGATCACATATATAGGCTACAAACGCACTTGCAAGGATGGATGTACTTAACGTACACCGAACAATCGTCGTGGAAGGCCTGATCGACTTCGAAGGTGGGGTAGCCGCACCTTCCACACGGCATGGTACACTAGTGGCTAGCTAATCACCTGCTCCTACCTTGAAGTGTGGCAAGCCTCCTGGTTCAAAGGATTCACAACCTCGAAAGAAGAAAATGGCACAAACTAGTGATCCTAGTATAAATCTGACCATTACTTACTCATTCATTCAAACGCATGAGGTTATTTAAGATTACGGTGATGCTTTAGATAAAACATGTTGTCCTTATGAGAATCATGAGATTTCGGTCCATTACATCATATTGGATGAGGTTTGGAATCAAAATGGGATGATAGTCGATGATGCATTCGCATATACCGTTGCTTCCAATATCATGCTTAGTGATGACATTGAACCACGCTCCGTTGATGAATATCGACGTAGAATGGATTAGTCAAACTGGAAACAAGCAATCTAGGTCAAACTCAATTCGCTCGTGAAACGAAAGGTATTTGGGCCTGTAGCTCATACTTCACCACATGTGAAGCCCATGGGCTATAAGTGGGTTTTTGTGAGGAAGCGTAATGAGAAGAATGAAATAGTGCAGTACAAAGCACACCTCATAGCACAAGACTTTTCTCAACGTTCTAGGATTGATTACGAGGAGACGTATCCCCCGTAATGAACATCATAACATTATGCTACTTTATCAATTTGGTAGTTTTTGAAAAACTAAATATGCAGCTTATGAACGTGGTAACCGCGTATCTTTATGGGGATCTAGATACGGAAATGTACATGACAGTTCAAGAAGGACTTCCATTAACTGGTTTAAATAGTTCTAGACCACGGAACACTTTCTCTATTAGATTGAGAAGATCACTCTACGGATTAAAACAATCCGGGCGAATGTGGTATAGCCGTCTGAGTGAATATTTGACAAGTCAGGATTATGTGAATAATGAACTATGCCCATGAGTGTTCAGTAAGAAGTCACATTCTAGATTTACGATCGTTGCAGTTTATGTTGACAACATAAACCTCATTAGAACTTCTGCAGAGCTTAAGAAGATTGCCACGCATTTGAAATCGGAATTTGAGATGAAAGATCTTGGGAAAACTCGATATTGTCTTGACTTGAAGATCGAGTATTGTTCGAATGGAATCCTAGTACATCAATCGAACTACACCCAGAAGGTGTTGCAACATTTTAATAAGGATAAAATGAAGCCTTCAAGTACTCCTACGGTTGTTTGGACTTTAGATGCTAAACGAGATCACTTCCGTCCCAAGGATGATGATAAAGAGATTTTGGAGTCTGAAGTTCCATACTTAAAGGTAATTGGTGCTTTATTGTACTTGGCTCAATGTACTAGACTCAACATCTCCTTCGTTGTTAATCTTTTGGCTAGATACAGCAATGCGCCTACATGCAGACATTAGAATGATGTTAAAGATATTTTCCACTACCTTAAGGGTACGACGGATTTGGGCTTGTTCTACACCCATGAATCCTCGAGAGGAGTTACCGCCTCCTGGGTCCTCGGGTTAATTCTCACCTCATTGGTTACTCAAATGCTGACTAACTGTCTGACCCACATAGGGCAAGTTCTCAAATGGGTTATGTCTTTATCGTTGGAGATATCGCTATATCTTGAAGGTCTACCAAGCAAACGCTAGTTGCGACTTCTTCGAACCATGATGAGATTCTCGCCTTATATGAAGCCTCGCTAGAGTGCTTCTGGTTGAGAGCAGTTATGGAACATATTCAAAGCACTAGTGGTCTTACTTCCGTCGTTGGCCTTCCTATGACGATCTTTGAAGATAATGTAGCATGTATCGAGTAGTTAAAGAAAGGATACATTAAGGGATACAACACCAAGTACATAACGCCGAAGTTCTTTTACTCTCACCAGCAATAACAACATTAGAGCTTTGAAGTCAAGCAAATCCATTCTCTGGACAACCTGGCCGACCTCTTCACGAAGTCATTGCCCAAGTCTACTTTTCAGAAGCTCATCCAAGGAATCGGTATGCGTAAATTATCTGAATTGAATCGCTTGTAATTTTATTCGTAAGTTATGTCTAAGTCAAGGGGAGTATCTTGAAGCAGACTTACTTGATCTTAATGTACTTTTTTCCTACGATTAGGAGCATTTTTCCCA